GAATCAAGGATAGAAATTGAAGCGCAAATATTTGATATTAATTTAAAGTAATTCCGGAAGGGAATCCTCATCGTGATCGGGTCGTTGACTCTATTTCATTACATTCTCACTCTCTCTTTCTCTCTTACTCTCTCGAGTCTCGGTTTAAATCGTATACCCGCGAGTTCGCAAGTAGACTATCGATCTCAACGACTAACTGCACTAAAGACTATTTTTAGACCAGAAGAATAAAACTAACTGTCGATGTAAAGTGAATTGAAACCACGCGGTGATAACGATGGACCGACTGATGAAAGAATACTATAGGTTGTTTTGAATTGTTTATTATTCACATATGCATATAACATATCTATGTGGCGACTTGATGAGCCACTACTTTGTCTTCTTCCTTTAACTTCCACCTGTCGATACGTCCACTCGTTGAGTATTCTATTGAAAAATATCCATTAATGTTTGTTGTCATGATACAGTCGAAATATCGATCGGTAAATATTGATACTATTTTATATTAATTCATGTTACTGTTATTTTCTTTTTTTTTGTTTTGCGATTATTAATAATAGCAAAGGAATTTCTTTTTCTTTATGCAAGATTGGAATATTGCCAGTGTTTTTGAAGGAATAGAAATAGTATTAAAATATCAAAAAAATATCAATTAATTGGAAGAATGTTTGCCGCTATGGTTTTGCATAAAAATTCAAAACATAATAATAAGTTAAATAACAATATTCATAATAATGATGATCATAATAATGGTAATAATAATAATAATAATAACTCTAGTCGACGTAGTTCAAGAAAAAGTTTTCGATCGAATGTTGTAAATAATAATGTTATCAACATCACAAATGATAGCCAAATCAATGACAATCATGCATTTAATGCGACTATGGTAAGTTATTAATTTAAAATCACATTTAAATTGATTCGCTTATGTCTATTAATATTTTTGAATATTCATATTCAAATATTTGATTTATTGATTTTTGTTCTGTAATTATTATATTTAGAGAAATCAATGAAGTGAAATTATTGAAAAAAAATTATGAACAGAAATGTGTAGAAGAATAATTAACGAGTTATCGAGAATTAGAAATCTAATGAGTTAGAGAGAAATTGAATAAATCTTTTTAAATGTTTAAATATTTAAAATAATCGTTCTTATATATTTATTGGAAGGATGAATCTATTTTGACGTTAGTCACTTTACCAGAATTTTTATGAAGAAATTTAAAAGATTGATGTGAAAATTCAATGTGACACATTAAAGAAAAAATATTCTTTGTTGAATTTTTTATCATGTAATACTTTCAATGTCTTCTTCTTTTTCTTTCTGAGATATCTTTTAAAGCCGATCAAAAATTGATGGTTTTTCTTAAAATAATTTCAATCGAATATCAGTTAAATAAAAAAAATTTATAAAACTTAATAAATAAATTCCATTCATTATTGATAAAGTTTTTAATTATTTATATATTTCAATATAAGTTATCCCAAATTTTACTTCTTGATCAATTATTTCTTAATCAAGTGAGAGAAGTATATTAAATTTAACTTTACATATACTTATACAAATCAAGCTCAATTTCATATGGTTTACTTACATTAATAATGATTTCCGTCATTATTTAAATTTTATTTTTTATTTATTATGTCATCTCAAATAATTAATAACATCTTTATAGAATTCGTTGTTAGAATATAAATTGTATTGATGATAGGAGAAGAATGACTTGAAGTATTTAAATTTATCGATTGATAAATAGACTCTAATTTATTCATTGGGTTGTGTTATCATGTACTTTGAATTGAAATATTTTTATTCACATATTCTATTATTTATGTTATCATTTGTTTGAAATATATACTAAACATATAAATTCAATTCTTATTGATAACAATGTAATCTTATCAAAAAATAATATAAATTGTAACAAAGTTAAAAAATTTGGTAAATAGAGCAGAATATATAAAGTAAATGAGATCCTCATAGTAGTCATAGTGGTTGTAAGCGTGATTGATTAAGACTTATTAATAATCATACCATCAATTTTATCGATTTTATCGTTATTACTATATATGAGCTTAGAAGAGATAGCCACCATGTAACCATGTAATTGATAATGACACGTTTAATCGAACAATTTCAATTTATTTTTATAGCTTAGCCATTAAATTTTCATTTTTCATCTATTTTAAATGTTCCTTCATTTATTTATAGATAGTAAATTTTTGTTATCAATCATTTCCATAATTTCACGCAGTTGATTGTTTAATTTAGCCAATAGAACTGATTATATACATCAAATATTTCTCATAGTTGATCATAATTATTATGTCAATATTAACAGGCAAACTATGTATAAAGTTATCGCTCTAATTATTGTTAGGTAATATTTATTTTAAAGATATTATTATTTTTAATTTAACTTAAAATTTATCCAATTATATTTATCTGGAACATTTTTTATCACAATTTTCTTTTACAGTTTATGCTATCAACTTTAAAAGAAAAGATTAATTTATCAATGACAAAAAATTGAAAAAAAAAGTATTTATATGCAATATGGATTTTTTAAAATAAAGATATCTAGGACAGGATGATCCCTTGAGGCATAATAGTCTCTATTAATAGAGAATAATGATTTTGATTTAGTTGTAGGATTTTTTATATTTTTAGAAGTAATGTACTGAAAAATTTAAATTAAATTTTCATATTTATTATCAATATATTTCAATAATTTATCAATCATCTTTGTCATTAGTAAAATAAATTATAAACTTTGAAGAGATAATTTTTTGATTATCTAAAAATGAAATTAATAACAATGAAAAATTTTATTCTCATATCATAGAATGATGATAAAATTTATTAAATTATTGAAAAAAATAAGGAAAAAAATGTGAAGTCTAAATCCAAAGTTTATAATGAAATTGATAATTTAACGTGTAAGATTTTGCACATTGCTAAGAAAGAAAATCGTTCTCTCAAATGCATGGAAATCATCAACTATTGAAATAAAAAAATTTTTTGACTTTATAATTCTTAATGTTGAATTATCGAAATTCGATAAAACAATTTACTCTCTATTGACATTTACTCAAAATAAACACGAAATTCGCAAAAGTTTGTTCATCTAATAACTGGTCCAACGTAAATCACCCAATTCCAAATGAAATTATTGGTGAAAATAGTAGGTCGACAGCAAAATTGGAGTTACAGTCGCCCTGTGAGTGTATTATCGTGTGGATAATTATGGACTGTGATAGGAATCTTTCGTTCCTGCGTGCTTTTTAGCTTGTTACGTTTGAAGTTGGAGGAATAAAAGGGATTTCTTTGATAAAACTTTAGTCACGCTAAAAAAGTAAAAGAATATCACAAGCAAAGCTCAGGTTTTTTTTTGTTATTGTTGCTGGCTTTATCGTTTTATTAATAAGTAGAATTTAAATCGTAGGCAACAAATTGAATATGCAAAATGCAAAAGAAAGATTAACCGAGACAGGCCGAAGTTAGCCGAGTTCAAGAACTCAAGTGGTCGTAGTTGTCTCGTTGCCTTTCACTTGGCCATTCCGCTATGTGCACTAGCCCGAGTCACGCTTGAGCAACGTTATTTAACTCCTGCCATTGCGAAAGCAAATCCAAATGTTTCCCTTATAACCTGTACGTAAATATAATACATATATGATTCACTCATGTTTCATTTTCCACATCGTCGCTGCCGTTATTCCTTCAATAATCTCTATCTTAAGGCACGTCAAGTAACTTCATTTCCGATAATATAAATCTAATAAATCTGTCATATCTAATCAACCGAACAACTCTTTTCTTACCTTATTACTCAATTACAATCGATGATGACGAATTATTTACGCAATTACTTAAACTCCTTCGCTAAAATTATTGTCGCATTGTTCGAGAGATTGTTGTAGGAGGTATTGATGTCATTAATCTTCTATTATGTGATTGGATACAAGTATTAAGTAATTATTGTTACTTCTATCGATTACTATAATCAATACTGAATGATTAATAAATTCATTAAACACTTCTATTTATTTACCATTTGAATTATATTAGTGTAAGCACAATAATGCCGGTTTAATGCTGTAGAAATTTCAACTTGTCATTTTGTAAAACAAAAATGCCTTGCATTGTTGTTATTGATTCGTTACAAGCTACAAAATCCTTCATTTGAAATATATTGTATGCTTAATGTTGGATACTTAGTATTTATTAATTTTTAATAGTTTAAAATATGAAATTGGAAGATACTACGTTGAATAAAGATGCAGAATATATTATTTTGTGGTTTAAGCTGACAAGGAAGATATTTCAAGTTTTTATGAGGGGATTTTAATTGAAATCAGTGTGATTTTATATCAAATATTCCTTTTTTTATAAATGATATATTATACGCTTACGTTTAAATACAAGAGATTTTAAACAGAAGATATGGAATTTTTAATTTCCTCTTTTGTATTTATAGGCACTGATACCATTTACATATTCCGATTTATATGCAATTATTCTTATCATTAAATGCTAATAAAAATGAGAACAATTTATGTATAGAATTTTTTATTGTGTTAAATAGTAGTACGTTTAAATGGATTAAAATAAAGTTTATATTAATCTGAATCATTGATATAATTGTTTCATTGATTAACTACTAGATGATTCATTTGATTATTATTTTTTTTTGTTGCTTGTAGAGTAACGTGTAATTTTACTTTATTCTTCAAGTAAGAATAAAACATTAATTTTTATTAAATAAAATAAAATAAATAATTTTATTATTAAAAATGATTGCAAGTTTGATAAATTATTATAATATGAAATAATTATAATGTAATAAAAAAAGTAAAGAACAAAGTACTTGAAGTTGTTTATAAAAAGGACATTTAAAACATCGTCATGACGAATTATCTGTATGTCACCTTGTAGATATCAACTACCGGGTGTCTATATAATAGGAAACACTCGATTCTCCAAGTTCCGGCAACTTTTTTCCCCTCTCTTGAATAATACTCCAATGTTGGTGAGGCAGGAGTACCCGACTCCCGCGCCTTTCTTCGCGCGATCACGGTTGCCCCAGCACTTGGGTTCCTGTACCTGTCAGTTGATTTTCAAACACTCGGACTATGAAACTGCGTTCCTTCGTAACCGCTATTATACTTCTTAAAAATATCTTCTGTAGCGTTATTTAGTAGTGATATTTACAAAAAGTCATTTGATATATTTATAAAAATATTGTGAATAAATACGTCTTGTAAAATGTAGTGGTTAGTAAGTGCTTCAGTGAATTTGGAAATTTTCCAGTGGTTCCTTGGTTTATTTAGAGCATAAAATTGCTTGCACGACCACTGGAAATAATTATTCAACGTTTGGTTGCACGCGTATTCCCGACTTTCCCCAAGAATCTTTTTTTGATTGTGCCCGATTAGTTATCATACATAATTCTATTCTCATTTCTCCCTTCTTTGACCTCGCAATCAAAAGCATTTTTGCTGCTTTTAGTGTAACACTACCGCTCGAGTTAGACTTTATTTACTTTCACTTGAAACCTTAATAGACTTTCCTATGCTTCGATTAAGTTATATAAACCGTTTTGTACACTAATTATTGCTTAATGAGCGTAAGAATATAATGAAATTCAATACTATGTGTTGATATAGTCGTGAATTGACGTGGCAGCGGAAGAATGTGGGCGAAAAATGAACCTACAGGTGTGCCATAAATTTTATGTTAATAGTAAATGAGAAATATAAATTGTCAGTTTTGGTAAATTATTTCTAATATTGACAAGAGGATTTTTATATAAAAGAATGCGAAACGGCTGTCAAGCTCAGCAAACTGCGGTGATGGCTCCGCCTCACCTCAACGGCTCGGCACAGTTTATTTCCGGCGGATATGTCGGCTATGTTCCTCGTCAATCCTGGAATCAGTATCAAGTTCCACAACAACAACAACAACAACAACAACAACAACAACAAATGCAAACACAAGAGCGTCGTATGACTGCAAGTAATAGTGGAAATAACAGACCTCTTTCACACCCTCCTCCACCACCTTCAACTACCCAACGAAGTGGCAATCAGGGCCAAAAGAGCAATTCTCTTCCGCGCACGCGTATCGATACGCACTCGAGATCTTCTACACCGTCGGTGAGTCAACATTTTGTTGATCAACATCATTTTTAAGGAATACTGTATCTTTTCTCATAAAATTTGTGATAAAAACTTTCCTAATATATAAAATAAACAACACACAAAATGGAAAAATTTTAATAAAAATTCATGCTTTTAATCACCATCATTATACCCAGTAATAACTACAGTTTTGATTACTTGCTGATGAGTTTGATACTTTATTTCTACTTTTATTCATTTGTTCATTTGATTTTCTCTAAATCTTTAAGGTTATAAATTAAATAGCATTCAAGAAATCATGATAAACATTCACTTACAGAGATTTATTACTTACAGTATTTATTTCTGTTTTGTAATAAAAATGATCATTCATTCTCATTATGAAATAATAATCTCAACTCTTTCGATCTCTACTAATGTATATAATGCATGCATTTGAGAATATGTTGGTGACAATAATGAAGATATGATGGATATTTCATCAACAGTAGTAATTAATTTTTTCCGTTGATTAAAATTTAATGACATCAATAGATAAGCAATGAGTTTAAAATGATTATTTCTTGATTAATTAATATAAACTCGGCAAAAATAAAAGAACATGTGATTGACAGGAAAGTTGATTTTATATTTTGATAAGTATTAATTGCAATGCAAAAATAATTAGTAAAACTTTGTTAATAATATTACAACTTTACTCAATAATAAAGTTATGCATTAACTTTAACAGGAAAAAATTCATTGAAATGGAATAAAATGTTTTGGAGATAAAATTCATTTTTTGGAACATTTATTCTAATTATAATATACTCTACTTTTATTTTTAAAAATAGAGTGACATCATTTAAATACGGGTTGATAAAAATTTATTATTATTCACAGCTATAATAATGGCAATGATGGTGCAAGTTATGATTAAATGTTGACGACGACTTTGTAACGGTAAACTTGTCGCTGTATAGGAGAATTCTATTTTATTCGGTGCACGAACGTTTCTGGAAAACAGCTGGTGAATGTCTTATAAGTCTCTTGCGTGAGAATGCTGATTTTGCTGGGTGACACGATGGAATTGAGAGATGAGCGCAAATGCGTTTCAGGAATGCACCTCATCGGTCCGCATATTTTAAGAATAAAAATGAAAAGAGAAAAAAAAATAGTGAGATAGAGAGGAAAATTACGCCTTTTTTCAACATTTTTACTTTCGTTTTTACCAGGAATTTAATTGTCATAGTCTGAGGTTTGATATACAATAAAAAGAAAAAAAAACATTCTTCGAAACAGTTAAACTATCTTAAGTTATGTACCATGGCATTGATTCATCTGAAAAGAAGCCAAGGTAAACGACATTGCTAACAATCTGATACTTACAGAATGAAACTGAAAATGATAAAGATAATTGAAGAAACTTACGGCAACAGTTTCATTATTTTACACATTTAATTAAATGTTTAAATTACCTTCAACTTTTACTTACAATTGTTATTAAAGCATTTAATAGCATTAAAATAAATACAAAATAAGGTTATTCCAAATAATAATACTAATCTTTAACAGTTCATGTATTTCATAAATATTAACTAATTATTTTTCCATTATTAATAATTATTTACATTCATAAGCCGCTTTAATTCCTCCAAGAATTATATCACAATCTAAAAAAATATACTATCAACAGGAAAATAATATTCATTAATAATCAACAATGTTTTCCCTCTTTTTATTTAAAGTCAATAAAATTTGAAAATTATTTGTAAATTTAAATTCGATTGCATAATTATCTAGCTGATTTTTTTTGATGGAAATATTAAATATATAAAATATCAAAAATTAATGTAATTGATTGAATATTTATGGGTAAAATCTTACGTAACATAAAATGCACAAATGTTTTTCTAATTAGTTTTGTAATTATATAATAAATAAATGTAACAAAAAAATTCAATAAAAAAAGTACAAATAATCATATATAAATAACTATTTCTAATTATTTATTATTTATAAACAGTGAAATATGTTTACTCCATAATAAAAGAAAAAAAAAATTTTGGTAATTGTTTAGTTTAGGTTGCATGAACTCGATTTCCTTAAAATTTTATTATGTTGTAGAGAAAATTATGCTGATTAATTTATATACATGTATTTTTTTAAGGTTGAAAATTTAGATAATAATGTGCATTAAATTTTGTCTTGGTAGCACTTTTTCCAATAATAATGACATCATTGCGTATGAATTGGCACAACATATCGATTTCTTTGTTCACATTTGTCTGTTTCTATGATTTGCTTTGTCAAACATTTAAAAATATCCATTAATTGAAAAATCGGAGTGAATATGATCACACAACATCAATTTTTGACTATTTGTACGAGTGAATAAATTAATTTGTCATTACGCTACTCGTAACTAATTATATTTATGTTCAAGGAGTTTCAGGGTGAGGCAGGGGCCATGGTGGGGAGGTTGTTAAAAATTTAGACCAGATGTCAATACTTATTCTAAATTTTTAACACCCCTTCCTCCTCCGCCTCACCCTCAGACCTCTTCAACATCAAATATTTGCAAAATACAAACTTTTCAAGATAGTGTATATTTTTCATTTTTCAAACCTTCATAACTATGTGATGATATGTTTTTCGCGCCCAACATACCTTTATATTCTTGTTGAGCATAAAAAAATGTAAAACATACTAAAATTTCAAAGAAATCGAGCGTATACGACCTAAACCAAACAATTACCACAGTTTTTACTTCATGATATCAACATGTAAACATTAATAATAAATAAAATAACTTTCTACTTTTTAAAATATATACTATGACAGCATTTATCATGAGCATTATTATCAACCAAGTACTACACAATATAAACTATTTTTTCCATAAAAATTAATTCAATTTATCATCAAAACCATAAATAACGTAGCGAAGAAAGAAGAATATTAAAAAAAGTGTATTTCTCTAATGCTAATAAGAAAAAACATCATGATGACTTGGAACAGAGATTTAATTTGATGAAATGTATTTTTGTTACAGAAGGTTGATCCGGAGTTGATATTTACGAAACAAGAGAGAATTGGAAAAGGTAGTTTTGGCGAGGTGTTCAAGGGAATCGACAACAGAACTCAGCAGGTTGTGGCAATAAAAATAATCGATTTGGAAGAAGCCGAGGATGAAATTGAAGATATACAGCAGGAGATTATGGTGCTGTCGCAGTGCGACAGTCCTTACGTCACTAAATACTATGGATCTTATCTCAAAGTATGCTCAGATTACCATTTAATTAAAATCTCCATGATAAAAATTTTAAATTAATATATTCTCTTATTGAAAATGACCATTTTATAAAAATACCGTATATAATATTTTACATGTTGACGATGCTTGATAACGAATAAAACATCATCCCTTAGCCTTGTACAGTTCAATGGCTTGAGGATGATCTTACAATAGTAGATCATTTATGCATGATGTCGCCCATGCGATGATAATCCTCATTTATTGGATATACTAGTCCCTAGAGTAGCTTCATCTCCCAACCAAGTAATGCAGGCAGGGGCCCATCGATACTTGGATATAATTATAACGGTGCGCGCCCGGTGGCACGGTTTCCTCTGCCTCACCTATGTTCCTCTTTCTTTCTTTCTCCTTCTCTCTCTCTCTTTTGCTACGTCGCTGAGCTGTAAATACATTCCATTTTCTCTACATTTCTCATGTTTATGTAGGTCTTGGCTACCAAAAATTCAATGAACTCCAGTATAGTTCCCTAAAAAAATCTATCAGAAAAATGAGAAAGTAGGAATATTTTTTTAACAATGGTTTAATGACTGTTGTCAATTAAAGTAATTTTGTTTTCCTTTAAGAAAGTCTTTCAACTTAAATTTATTAATTGTTGAAAAAAAATACTAACAAAAAATTACCTTTTGAATAATGTCAGTAAAAACAACTAATTCTTTTTAAAAAAAAAGAATATTTTTGTGCTTGCATGACTCCCTTAAAGAATTACATATATTATTAATTCCATTTATTTACATTATTTCTACTAATAGTTATTTTTTAATTGTATTAACTTGAGGTATTTTGCAACTTATCACATTGAAAATGGTGAATAATGAATTAATTTAATGGTTTGCAGGGTACTAAGCTCTGGATCATTATGGAATACTTGGGTGGCGGTTCCACTTTGGATCTCATGAAGGCCATGAAGACCGGAAGTTTCGAGGAAATGCATATTGCCGTTATCCTCCGTGAAGTTCTTAAAGGCTTGGACTATCTTCATAGCGAACGTAAATTACATCGTGATATTAAAGCAGCCAATGTTTTGTTGAGTGAAATGGGAGATGTTAAACTAGCTGACTTTGGAGTTGCTGGACAGTTGACTAATACAACGAGTAAAAGGAACACTTTTGTTGGAACGCCGTTTTGGATGGCGCCGGAAGTCATTAAACAATCGGCCTATGATTCAAAGGTAATTTTATTTAATTCCAAAAGATGTTGATTCTATTTAACATAAATAAATGACATTTATAAATACATGTTGTCTCTTCATATTATAAGATTTATTTTAATGTATAATTGATTATAAATCACTATATACGACAGTCATTTGGCGTTAATAACATTTGTAGAGAGATTTTTTTTATTAAATAGAAAGTAAAAACTTGATAATTAAAAAACTTCTACCATAGATATTTTCTGTAATTTCAAGATATCTTCAAAATTTCACTTTTAATTATTTCAATTTTATGCATGAGAATTGTTTAATTATTTAAAATCATTTACATTATTTCAAAGTAAATATTTCATAAATTTCTGTTTTTTTTTAGGCGGATATTTGGTCTTTGGGAATCACAGCGATAGAATTAGCAAAAGGAGAACCACCAAACAGTGAGCTCCATCCAATGCGAGTTCTTTTTTTAATTCCAAAAAACAACCCACCTCAATTAACTGGAAACTACACAAAACAGTTTAAAGAATTTGTGGAAGCTTGTTTAAATAAAGATCCAGAAAACAGGCCAACAGCTAAAGAACTTTTAAAGTTTCAATTTATTCGAAAAGCGAAGAAAAATTCTTATCTTATTGATTTAATTGATAGATATAAGAAATGGAAGTCACAAAGAAGTGAAGAGTCTGAAACAGAAAGTGAAAATTCGGATTCAGAGGAGTCAAAGCAAGACAGTGATATGGATGAACCATGGATAATGACAGTAAAGGGTCCACATGGTGCAAAATCTTCCGTGCTACCAGTCTTGACGTCCCTGGATGAACAACCGACCTCACTGAGTCATACTCCTAATCACAGATCAGTTGGTCATAGTCAAGATGTCAAGGTTTACGCAAATGGTGGTGCAGGGTCGCCACCAACGGCTTTAGTAAAAAATCATTATAAATGGTCGAGGGAATCATTCAGAGAATTAAAAGCAAAACTTAATACACCGTCGCGTCCTCATGAAGCTGCACCACCACCTCCAGTAGACATACGAGAAAATCGAGATAGCCAAGAATTTCGAGAATTTCGAGATTCGAAGGAAATCCGTGATGGCAGAGATCGTGAGAATAATTCTCGAGAAAAGAGAAATAGTAAACCCGATGTGCCTGTTGTTTCCATGTCAGACCATAGATCAAACGAGGATAAACAACGACCAAGGAGTTCTCAAGAGCCAAAACATCCTCGAAGTGCGACGCTTACCTCTGTAATCTACCCTTTACTCTCAGAACTTCAACGCAAGTATCAATATTCATCAAGGGACAATAACGGAGACAACGTTGTATCTAGAAATGGAGGAGCGATTGATGAACTGAGAGGTGCCTTTGAATTGGCTGAGCGTACGTCGCCAGGAATTAATGAAACTCTTGTTCGAGAGATCCTCAAGGCCTTACTTCCAGCAAATCACTCGGAAAGTAGACTCTCTATGATTATGGAGAAAGTTACATTAAGGTGTGTACTTGCATTTTATCACGGCATAAGTTTTCGTCATGTTAGCTCTCTTATAAAAAAATTTTAATTAATTAAAAGTAACAATAAAGCTTAATTTTGTTATTTTTTATCTTCAAAACAGAGTAAAATAAATACTTTTTTCTGCGTTGCATCTTGATAAAGGTTCTCATTTAAAGAGAAAAAAAATTCAATAGCTCTTCTAATCTAATTTCATTTTTATGAAAGAACAAAATTATAAAGGATTTTCTTTTCAACAGTTTATTACTAGATAGAAATATATTTAACAAATGGCAACATATAAATATTCAATTAAAATTCTACAATAAAAAATAATCCGATTAGTTTATATAAACTTGTTATATAATTTATTTAAAAAATTAATACTTTCATAAATTTAAAATAATAATAATAATAATAATAATAATAATCATCATTTTTTTAGGGATACGTAGGGACGGGAGAGAGCGAGAGTGCACAAGAAGCTGTGGTCCGAGTACATATTAACTCTATAGAACTGAAGGCCGTTTTAATTACTAATCGGACAACGTTAACAGGTGCAGAAAAAAATTTACCACAAGTGCACCTTGCGCTTCGAAAGATTTTAATGGATCAAGAATGGAAAAAAGCAAAAACAAAAATAATAATATTAATAATAATAATTGTGCCAGCGGTCTACCCGAATTCCTGCCTATTTAAATCTGCCTCGATTCGGTACAATTGATTCGATGCAAAACTGCAAATAAAATGTTGAAGAGGGAAAGGAGAACTCGGGAATATTAATCTAAACTGTGCCCGCATTCTCATTAATTATTATTTCATCATGAGCGTATGTGCACTTGAGATTTTTATTACCAACGGGAAAGGCTTTTTTGTGCGTGGGAATTGTTTGATTTTTTTTGTCACCACGCAATTGTCACTTTGCACTCACGCGATACGGCCAGGAGGATACGAGGCACCAGTATTACGTACACTGGAGGCCATGTAAATATGTATGTAGCTCAATAAGATATACTTATTGTTATGGTCGACATGTCGCCGACTGATTTCCACACTTTCCGACAAGCATTGTAGGTTGTGTTCCACAAAGAAGATCCCTTTGCTGTTAAAGAAATGTCGAACAAGAAAATACCCCTAATTATTATCCTTCCCGATCGTTATGATTCCGATAGTTTACTAATTATTTTGTGAAGAGAACGACAATGCATCTATGCGGGCACAAGCGAATAGAAAACAACAGGGTGAGAGTGTAGAAATATGGTCTTATTTGTGAATTGAATTATCTACTGTAGACATTACTTAAACAATGATTAAATTAATTACAAAAAAAAAACAATTAAAAAATTATTCATGAAGTAGTATTTACTGATTAGAAATGTATGTAGATGTTGAAGAAAGATTTATTGTCATGAATTTATTATTTAATTTATTTTTTATTCGTATCGTTATTATTAAAAGTAAACATAACAATTAATAGTTCGAGTATCATAGACTAATAAATGATTGTTATTGAAAAAATTATTATAACAATTAAATTATTCGAAATAATTAGTGAATGATTTCCAAATTTATGTGAGTAGATAAATTTGAAATATCATTAATCCTGTATTTTCAACATTTCATCTACCCTCTCACCCTTCACTTCAAATTTCTACCCGCTTGTTATCTCCTAATCATCAAAACAATTGGGATAGACTCATAAATTTGTTTTATTTTTATTCTATTTTGTTGTAAGTTCATTCTTTATTATAAATTAATAATAACCATATTATTGTTCCAACGGTTGGGTTCGTTTTTTTCTTTTAAAACTTGTAAATTTATATTTGAATAGTCAACAGAGTAAAATTATTTCTTAACAAAAATTGTTTTTCCATTTTAAACAACTCATGGTTTTCATATATTTTCATTAATTTCTAAAAATTATGATGGATTATTGTATTGTAAGTTTTTTAATATTAGAGTATTATTCAAGAGTGATTGTGTAAATCAGAAAAGCAGGGTCTGTCAAATAATTAATGAAAATAAGCATCTGTTATTATTAATATTATTTTTTATAACTTCTCCGTGGCCATCCATGTTATTGTTTTCTGATGCTTATGTTAGTTATTCGTATCACCAGACAAGGTTGGTCAATGGTGATGAAATTACAGATCGTGGAAAAATAAAAATTAAATTCAATACAAAACTGAGCTATTTATTAATCCTGTCTAATCTATTTTTATTGATAATTTCCATTAAATAATATTTATACTTAATTATTTTATAATATGTCAACAATAAGATATAATCATTGAAATTACATTTTTGAAAGTTAAAAAAACCGCGCAACAGTTAAAGCGACACCTGTTAAATAATAATATTTAATTTAATTAATTTCAAATTTCGCGCTAGTAAAATAAAAACCTAACATTTTTTACAGTAACAACAAAATATTATTTATTTGTAAACATAATTCATAAAACAATTTTAATACAAAGTATTATTCTTGAATATTAATAATATAAATATTATTTAATCGTTATTATATTTTTCTTTGGTGTATTTAACTTGTCGGGTTAGGTTAGAACTCGGTAATAATTATTATTTATTTATTACAAAAGTTTACTGTTTCAATTACTTATTAAATTTTTTTATTCCACTAATTTCATTATAAATATTTGATTTTATATTAATTAAATACTAATTAATATTTGTTACTTATTAGATGAGTTGGTAGATTTGTACAGTTTGTGCTGATGTTTACCGGTAAAATCCCGCTTATTTTCTGGCAGTTGCTTCTAGTTTATTCGTCTGAAATTTCATTAAAAAGTTCTTCAAAATGCCGTCAAATACTCAATGTTCATTAAAGTTTGCTAAACTCAGTGATAAAGCTTTTCCTCCTATTAAAGGATCAAATCTAGCTGCTGGATATGATCTTCGAAGGTACAATCATTTATAAAGCTATCTTTTGTATTAAGCATACATGACATAGATTTCCATAATTACAATACATGTACTTTCATTTGTCTCTATAATGACTTAAAAATGTACTTCGCAGTGCCTACGATTATGTTATTCCAGCCCAAGGAAAAGAATTGGTAAAAACTGATATTCAAATAGTAGTTCCTGAAGGTACTTATGGACGAATAGCTCCAAGATCTGGGTTAGCATGGAAAAACTTCTTAAACGTTGGTGCTGGAGTTATTGATGCTGATTACAGGTAATAAAACAATCCAAAATAATTAAAAAAAATTGTCATAGATATTTAATGTTTTTAACTGAATTATTTTTCATTTTTAGAGGTAATGTGGGAGTAGTACTTTTTAATCATAGTAACACAGATTTTAAAGTGTCTGCTGGTGATCGCATTGCACAGTTAATTTGTGAGAAAATCGAATATCCTGAATTAAAGGAACTTTCAACACTAGATGAGACCGCCAGAGGGGATGGAGGATTCGGTTCTACTGGAGTGTGATTATTAAAAATCAAAAATACAGGTGTTGTAATACATCATAATTTAATTTTACTATTTTCAGTACTTTCATGTATCATGTATATCTTAAGAATGATCTTTTTTATTATTACCTTATCTTTTATTCATTTGATATAAATTTGTCAACTACCTCGTATGTAAACAAAAAAAGATAAGTTAATTTTTGCAAATAATAAAAATAAATAATAAAATGTCTCTAATATGTGAAATTTAATAAATGGATAAAAACGATGTATTTATTATTTTATCACTGAATAAAAGAGGAAATTATTGAACATATAATAAAGCAAAACATTGTTTATTTATCAAGTATATAGGAGACGCATGCGTGTATTAAAATTGTCCTAGAAATACGAGTAGATAGAGGTGAACGAGTGTCGTCGAACGACGTGGTGTGAGGTGAGAGGTGGTCACTAGAAGTCTCGCGACTGCTCACAGTGGCCAGTAGCTAAACAATGTTCCGCATGGTTAGTTGCGTATGTGGTTGATCATCGTCGTCGTATAAATACGTTAGAACGAATGATTATTTTCAAAGTGGGGTGAAGATAAAATTATGAGAAGTGGGGGGACAAGTTAACGGGGTAATCATTGTGTAAAGCAGTAAGATTGGTTGAGACGCGTTGAAAAGGCACTTTGAATAACTTATAATTTGCGAGGACTCCAAAACGAGTCTCGCTCGAGAGTTGTAAACAAAGGATGGCTGGTGAACCTCGTGTCGCTGGAAATGCAAAACCGCTAGTGCCGCTTTTTACAAAAGCCGCAGATTGTGTGTATACGAGCTGTTACTGGTAAGACAAATGAAATAAAAAGCATGATTTAAACATTTCAATATTTACTTAGTGTATATTAATCATAAATGCACTTTCATATAGTTGTATTGATGCAATATATTGAGATTACACTGTAGATACTGCGGCAGATCCCGCGTTGGATCGATACGTTGCAGTGAAACGAGCGCAACTACAGAAAAATAAAGAGCATTTCCGCCATTTTTTTCTATATATCGGACTAAACCAATCATAAACATGCGTTATTGTATTTTTCGAAAATCCCGGGTTTTTTTCTAAACTTTGATTGGCCCATCAGTCCCCTCTTTAAATGACTTTTTTGACAGCGCGAATTTACAATTTTTGTTATCATCAATTAATACATGTGTGATATCGCGCACGACATTGTTATAATCACCTGCACGCAAACCTCATTTATTATTATCAAAGCTTATACATTGAATATATTAACTTGTTTAAAGTAGAACATGCAGGAGTACTCTTTACGACGAATAAAAAAAATAAATAATCTATTAAATCGATTGTTGTATACAACATGAGTATGAATATTTAATTTTTTATATCAAAGTTTCCTTTTGTTTTCACAGCGAAGAAAATGTATGGAAATTGTGTCAGGATATTTCAACAAGACATACATCTGAACTACAGCATTGCTACGTAGTTTTTATAAGTAATTCTAATCGAAGTGTACCCCTTTGGCGTCAGCGAGAGGGAAAAGGAGACGATAAAGTTATTGTTTGGGTACGTCCTTTCTTTTTATAATCTATTTTATATCATTTTCACTCAGATAACTCTAATAAATAATTAATAATCAATTTTTTATATAGGATTATCATGCAATTTTAATTTATGCACCCGACGAGCGAGCTGTAGTGTACGATTTAGAAAGTGCTTTACCATTCCCTACATATTTTTGGAAATATGCTACTGAAACCTTTAGGACAGATGAAGCCTTGCGTCCCGAATATCACAGAAGATTTAGACTTATACCAGCTGCTACTTATTTACAACACTTTGCTTCAGATCGTGCTCACATGAAACGCGAAGATGGAACTTGGATTAAAACACCACCAGATTATCCACCCATTTGTACACCAAGTATTGTCGATTTTTTTTAATATTCATTTATTGATTTTTTTTAATTATAAGTATTTCTTTTAATAAAATTTTAAATATCGTATAAATTAATTAATATAACATTAAAAAATTCTTTACTTAAAGAAGTGTGAAATTAATATTTTTTTTACAAGATGAAAGAATAAGAAATGATTAAATTAATTATTGTATTTAATATTTTAGCTTGCAAGGATAATCTGGACTCATTTATCAGCATGGAATCTGGAACAGGTTTTGGAACAGTAATGAGTTTAAAACAATTAATTAACAAATTTTACAGACCTAGTGTCAATCCAACGTCTTCTCCAGCACCTCAGTCTCAAGCGACAACAAATTAAAAAAATTTTCTAATCAACAATATATTTATATTATTGCTCTTTGTTCCTTTTTGGAACATCATTTCACTCATTCGCTTGATCTAGTATGTTCAGATGTTATAAGTATGGCCTATGGCTTTTAATAGTCGGAAAATAAATCAAGTTAAGCAATCTTGAATTTTAAATTATCAAGTGTGCATCTGATTATCTACAGATATATTCACTTGAAGTGGAATGAATATGGAGTGAAATTGAGCCAATACTTATTCGTCTTCAAAACAAATGTTTTTTCGATCACCATATCCATACAATCTCTATGAAACATATTTACTCTTTTTCTATAAAACACTTTTTATGAAAGAAATCATCCTTTTTACCCTTATTTCCTATTAAATAATAAAGGAAACTTATAAGTCGCCTTCTTATAAGTGTTCTTGTTCTCAACAAATGAAGAATCACCGCAATGTATACTTGTTTGTCACGACTATTAACACTGTGTCAACGGTTTTTTATAATCATCATATCGAAGACTGATGTTATTCACAAACAATTGGTAAATGTGCGCTTAATAATTGATGCGGCAAGAATTAAAGAGAAATTACTTGATAAAGGATAAAATCATTAGAAAAATAAAAAAAAATTACATACATGCAATTATAAACTTTTTGCAAAATGATTACAGTGATTGTAATAATTCTTGTGATACTTACACTCTATCTACTTAAATGAATAATTTTATCAACTATTGCATTAAGAAATTAAAAAAAAATTCATTATCAAAATATTAAATAAGTTTTTTAATTACTTTATCTATTTATTGTTCAATAAAAAAAAATAATTTCTTGGGCTTTGAAGTTGTTAAATGTAGACAAATTTTTTGGAAAAATTTTTATTAACGTATCTGTTTTTGGTACAGTTTTTAAATTTTCTCAACAACGAATTCTATCAATACTTTACTTATTTTTATATTCAAGATTTATTGTAAAGTATTTAGCATTCAATTCATCATTTTTTTTAGTCAAACTACGTTTTTGTGTTAATTGCGGAAGCGTAACTGTTTAATCTATTATTTTTAAACTTTGAATTGAATTGTTTACTATAATTAACGTAAATTAATAAATTTAATGATAGATAATTAATATTGATAATGAATATTTAATTAAATTTTATCCATTACGTTAAATATTATATTAATAATAATATGTCAGTAATTTATGTCATATCTTCTTTATTATAAAAATTTTTCAAAAAATCTTTGCACATACATAATTTTTTTCCAAGAGAATATTTTTTTTCAACAATAAGAACAATATATAAAACGAACAAGTGACCACAGTAATAAACATTTACAATAAATACCTTCAATTATTTAATAAATATTATATTCTATTTAAATCTAATCGAATTTCTCACTATACAAATCGTCTTTCTAATGATGTACCTATTTACTTGTTCTCGTAAATATTTATCGAATTACAAATGTAATTTTATAATGAATTAAAGAACAATTTTAAAATCGTTTTAACGCAACGAGAAATATAAATTCTCTTTAAAAAAAATTTAGAAAAAATAAATTAATAAAAATTTTCCATATTTCAATTTTGAATCGTTATTTATTAATATTTCAGGCGAGTTTTGCGGAAACAATACTATCGCTTACAACAAAAAATTTTCAACTTGAACATTTTTATAATTATGCATGCCAATTAAACAAAAAAAAAAGAATATACGAGAAATATTCATGAATTATATATATACAATGTTATCTTATAAAGTCTTAATACAATTATAAAGAAAGAAATTCAGATAGATGATAAAAAATATTAATTATTAATAATTAGTTAAACAAGAATTTATATTTGTCGAAGTATGATGATATAATCTTTTTATCCTTGTTAATCTATGAATGCTTATACACAGTGATATCTTATATACAAGTGAAAAAAATGATGATCTGCGTTAAATTTTCAAATGTTTATTGTATTCAACTTGAAAAATTGTGTAATTAAAGAAACAAAATAATATTAATTACATCGATTAAATGTAAACTTCAACTTATTCTTTCATTGCTGTTTGTTTAAAACCTATGTAATACGATGATATTTTTTACATCAAAAATTGATTTTCATCCTACTTTTATTTTTTGTTTAAGTTTTACAAGTTTACGCCGAGTTTGGCCTTCACCTATCATAAAAAAAATACTTTCATTAATTAAAAAATATCTTCAAATATAATCATCATTCATTAATTTATATTTATACTAATTTAATATTTATCATAAATTATAACTAATCAACTAACGAAATTTATAATTTCATTATTTATAAAATAACATTTTCATTTTGAATTAGTTTTTTCCATAAAAACTATCATTGAGCTAGAAAATGCATCAATTTAACTGATGCAATGACTATTATTTATGATTAATAAACCACATTATATAATTAATGTGATTTATATTTTCAGTGCTTCTGTTTCAGTAAGTCATTGCAAACTCTTCAAGTTTACGTTCTGTAGTATGGTGCCATACTATAAGTTGACATTGGGATATTATTTTGTGATAAATGATGAGAATCTCCTTGATCATATTCGACATCATAATAAATGCCACTTTGATTCTAAAACATAACAAATTATTGAATATAGAACATTAAAATTAAAATAGAATGAGTAGGAACTTTTTAATGAGTTTTCTAAAATGATTCATCATAATCTTACCGCTAAAGATGATCTAGACCTCGGTCTAGGCACATGAAAGCCATTGCTTTGAGGGATTAAGTCAGCACGATCTCGATCTTGTAGTTCAGAATCTGAACTGTCAGGATCAAGCTGGCTTCTTTGTCTCGGATGTGGCGGCGCTTGGAGTCTTGGTAATGGAACAGGCGGTAATGTACTATGACAACTCATTGTTGGATATCTAAATCCTGCAGAATTAGACCTTGTCGGACCCATAGGTTCTGTCTAGAAAAAAAAGAATTTTTTAATTATATAAAAATAATAAACCATCAAAAGAAATGCATGTAATAATTTTTCAACTAATAATTAACTCACTGCATATAAATTAGCAGTAGCCATATGCTCAGTTATGTGACCCCATAAATATGGTGGCAGAGCAGAAGGTGGACCCTGCTTCACTGATGCTATAGTTCCGGCAGATCCAACTGCTGAAATTCCTCCTGGCACGTATCCATAAACTGGAGAACCCATTACATTTTGTTCTCTTGACCATCGACGGCTAGAAAATTGTTGAATTTTTTTAGAACAGTCAAATATATTAGTTTAATATAATTAAACAATGAAATTGTTTTCACACGATAAAGCACGTAGAAAATTACACTTACATGGAGGGGAGGGGTAATAAATATTAAATAATGGTTAATTACCTCCACATCACGAGACAAACTACAGTGAGAATAATAATTATTAGAGCAGCAACAGAAGCACCAATAGCTACACCTAAAACTTCGCCGTCAATTTCACATTGCGCCCCGTAATTATTACCAGTACAACTAAACAAAAATCATTTTAATTAATTTAATTTAATTAATTCAACATTACTGTAGTTAACTGCTTATTCTTTTAAATAGTATAATATAGTGTTTATTTATAATTTATGTTTCATAAAATGAATGATTCATTGTATTCTGATTTAATTTTTTTTATGTGAATTACATATATTTTCAAAAAAATCAAACTCACGAGCATTGCATTGCATTGCCTTGATAAGAGCAACTTCCACGATTATTACAATGTGATGATGCACATGAAATGCATGTCCTGCCAGCAAGGAGGGGATCATCTTTATGAGGATCTTTAAGACCTGGTTTACAGTGACAAGTAAAACCACCCCAATTATTTGTACAAATAGCAGAAGAGTTACAATCATTCAATTCTGATGATGCACATTCATCTAAATCTTGAAGACTGGAAATAGATCCAACTGGAGTATCAACAAAAACAGCACTATTTCCAATATTATTATTTCTTCTGTGTATAACACCAAGTAAATGCCTCTGAAGCTCTCCAGCTAAAGAAGGTCTCGCGGTTCGAGACTCGTGAGTTAATTTTAGTGTTGCATTTACAAAAACGCCACCTTGGCCTTTACTAACGTCACCTTGATAGACGCTATTAATTAAAGAGCCCATGTACTCATCAGAAAACGGTGTCATTGACATAGCAGACTCAATCTAAAATTGAATAAAAAATGAAATAAATATTTTAATATTCGCTGTAAAATTTATGATTAATAAAGATTTAGTTATTATCCGTAGTACCAGATAAAGCTCATATTATCAACTATTATTATAATTTTTAACACTTACGGCTTTGTTTGATTCATAAGCAATAGTTTGATACGCTTCAGATTCTCTATCAGCTAGATCATGACTCCAAGTAACTTTCCAGTCATAAATTCTATCAATTCTAATAGAAACTACGATACTAACAACCTCTGTAAATAAATAAAAAAGAAATCAAAATAAGAATAAAGTTCTGTTATTGCGTGACTCATGAAATGTATGTAAAGACTCATTTGTTATTGTTCATGAAGTAATTACTAACTTTTACATGGCAACGAATGAACCAATCGTGCATATCCAGGTTTACAATGACATGCGGATACTCCTTGGATAGTAGCACAAGCTTCATGCTGACTTGCATCACAAGTGCTTAAATCACCAACAATGCAAGTATCGATCCTAACAGGTGGTTGTGTAGGTCTTCGATGAAACGTCGGTCGTCTGGGCAATCCATTAGGTCTCGAAGTAATTGAACTAGTATCCACTTGAGGGACTGCATATCCCGTACCAATTATTGGTCCTTGTATTCGTGTAGGTTGAATGTGAGTTTTGGTGGCAACAATGTTTTCATCAGAATTATCAAATAAGTTCAAGTACGTTCTCTTGCCATCAATACTAACAAATCCTTGCCCTTCAACAGCTGATGTTAAGATAACGTCATGACCACCTGTAGGATTTACAGATACTCGGACACTCTCACCAGATGCACCACCGGGTCCTTGAATAGCAGAAACAGTTACATCAAAGATATCTCCAAGTGGAGGATGTCTTGGAGGTGCATAAGGCCTCTGAGTTACTAATCCTGGTGCTTTAGTATAATCTAAAGTATCATCTAATACAATTCCCGGTCTCGGACGATAATTGTAGTGATTTATCGAAGCTATAATAAAAGGAAAAAGATAATAATATATTGGTATAATAGAAATCAATAATGAAATACTATAAAATTTAATTAAATTTTTAGCTACTTAAGTAATTGCGAAATTGGATTAGAAAGTAAAAAAAGAAACTAAAGCAGTAATAAAAGCACTTCTGTAATAAAACTATTTAAATTTATTATTAATTACCAGGATTTTTATAAAATGTGGTAGATGTAGGATGCTGAGTCATAGTTTCAAAAAGACCAGACGACTTAGAAGTTGTTGAGGTTGGTAAGCCTTCTGTCGGAGTAGATATATGATAATTTCCACTGTAACTTGACTCTGATGCTTTGCTTGGTTCAATTATAGTCATTGTGTCACTAATTACCGGAGACAATTTATTGGAAGCTTCTGAGTTATTCTCAAGGGGCACAATCGCAGGTTGAACCTCAATTATGGTTTTTGTCGGTTCAATAACTTGAATAGAAGAACTCGTTTCAATCTTTAAAGTTGTTCGCATAATATTACGCGTAGTAGATTCTATTTCTGCTGATTTGGTTTCTGAACTTGCTTCCTGAGGAGTCAGACTCGATTTAGATGATTCATGACTATCAGAAGGTGCAACCGGTTTGATAGAATGCTCCGGTTGAGTTGGTATGGGAATTGGCTGAACGTCTGATCCTAAGACCAAAGTATTCTCGGACATTATTTGATTTTGTTTTAAGGGTGGTTGATATTTCAACGGCTTTTTTGTTGCTGTTTCTTCTGGAGTTTGTTCAGGGCTTGTTAAGTTTTCATTCGATTGATCAGTTGATGTACTGACTTGTGTAGGCTTGTTATCATTCTTGTTTTCATTTTTATTAAAGTTATCCATTTCATGAGATGGTAAAGGTTTATATGGCGGAATAGGTCGTCTGTTGGAAGGTCGATAAGGTCTATTCCAAGGTCGATTTACCGGTGCACCTGCCTCTGTAACCGAAACTCCATTTATGTAAGGTTTAGGAGGTGTCGGTCGCTCTTGAATTGGGGGCAGTTGATTGATTGATGGTTTTTCTGGTGCAGGCGGTTTATCGAAAGGATACGGCTGCTCTGGGAGGGGAGGAGGATTCATTTCAGGTGTATCGAAGTCCGGTGGTAATGGTGGTAGATCGGAGATTCTTGGCGGACCTCTATTATTAATCCTAAAAAATAAGTTAATAGTTATATAATTTTCTTTTAGATGATATGATTTTAATTTATATGATTTACGATAATAGTAATCGTTTATCAATCTTTAATATGTAAAATTTTTTAATGTATTTAAAAATTAAATAGAGTAAAACGTAAAAGTTAAAATTTTTTTTATTATCATTTCTGTTAATTTTTTCAAATTTAATATTATTTACAGTTAAACTAACAAGGGGACTTATTTACTCAAGCATTAAAATTCTTTTTAAGTTACTGAAGAAGTGACAAAAGTTTATAATTTTATATAATCTACTGAATCGGGTGGTCTCACTTTCTAATTTTTTTAATTTCCGTATTATTAAACTCGAGTATAGTACCCTTAATTCTTTAAGCTTCTTTTAAAGTTTCTATCTCAAATTTACTGAAGGAAACACTATCTTCATTAGCATGAAATGCAATAAAATATAATGAATTTAATATAAAGATATTCAAGTTATGTTTATATCTTAGTTCATTATTTTCAGATCATTAAAATTAGTTCCGTTAGTAACTGAATAATATATTCATATGGATATCGCATACCTCGTAGCTTGTACAGGCTTGTGGGGTCGAATAGTGTTGGCTGCAACATTGACATTGCCATTAAGTAATTTAACAATTCCAGTTATAATGTCCTGGATATCAGGGTTTGCTTGACGATTCCCTACTGTCGCAGTTTGCATATTAGAAGGTAAAGCTCTCTCACTATAAATCCTCGGTACTTCTTGACGTCCTTGTCGTTGTTGGTTTGATCCAGTGGGATAAAGGGGCTCCGACAAGGTCAGTCCTTGCGGAGCCCCCTGCCCTTCCCCCGACTGCTCTATTTCACTTGTTGATTTGACACTTTAAAAATTAATTATATTAATTATTATATTATTTTCTCTTATGATTTATCAAGAATGTAAATATTTAACCTAAAAAATAACTGATTATCAATGAAAATTTTGTCTAAAAATAATTTCAAAATTGTCATAAAGAATAAGAAGTATCATTAATTTTAGAAAACTATGATGAAAATACTTTTCGTACTTTAAATATTCAGCTGGCTTAACTTCAATATTATTTCCATCAATATCATCGACATGTTTAGATGCCGTAGCGACAGCATCTAACCCACTATGAAGACTAGTAAACTTTAAAGAATCAGTATCTATCTTGTCAAGTCTCTCAACACTTCGAGAGCTTTGAAGTTGTAAGGTTGGATGAGTAGTTTCGAACTCACTCATCGATTTATCGTTTTTTTCTTTGGACCAAGTTTTATCAAGATGAAAAGAACTAGCACTTAGAATTACGTCATCAGATAATGATTTGGATGATGTTGGTGTATTCCGTATTGCAGAAACCTCTGAAAACAAATCAATCGACAGTAAATATAAATGATTTCATTTATCGTAAAAAATGTAGTTAATAATGTAGCTGACTACGAAATAAAATTGCAAAAAGTATTTTTGAGTTTATAAGAAATGAGTCGAAAATGACAATCATTTATGGCACTTTGCCAAGGGGCATACGACATCCGATCAATGTTGGAGCGAATCAACGGTACTCTGAGAGCTTGACATTCTAGTGACTGTCTTCCATCTCTTTTCCTCTTTATTTCTTTCAGACTCTTCGTTTCTACCTTTCTCAGAGTCAAAATCTTGATTTACACGTTTCCTCTTACGTTCAAGTACACGAGATCATTGCCCTCGCAAGCTTGACATCGCAAGAAATATGAAAAAATTCTTGTATATCCTTAGTTTTATTGGATTTAATTTGTATCAATTTTGTAATAGAAACCAAAGCCAAGGCATTAGGAAATTATTGCTTTATGAATTCAAGAGAAATAACATGCCTCTTACTCTATTGATTTTTCTTTTTAATATTTTATGCCAAATTCAGTAACTTAAAAAACAATTCAATTAATCGTGATAATAATAAAGTTAATTATTCTATAAAAAATCTTATTCAAAAATAATATTATTTAATTATTATAATTATTGATAATTATAGTATTTTGGAATGTGATACCAACAATAATAACTGAAAAAATTGTAATGATTATTTGTATGAAATATTACATTAAATTTTTGTTGATGAGTCGAGATGACTCATAAATGATAATATCATGAAAGTCGAATATAATTATCCGAGTGTACATGACTGTAATTTTGATATAACAAAGCCTTATAAATGCAACTGAGTAAAAACTAGGTGGAGAAAAAAATAGAGAATGGATTAGTGAATAATGCAGAGGACTAACGGTTACAGAAACTAGAATGTAATGTACTTATGTCGTGGAGAACAAACGTATGTAATGTCAAATGCGACTTTACTAACGGACTTGTTTCAGGGAGGAGGCTCAGGCACGTTTTTCTCGTTTTCAATTTTTCACATCAACATTTTATTGTGTATTATTTAGCTACTTTAAAAGCATCGTAAATATCAGCACGTCAAATATAATTAAACTCTTCTCAATACATTATCATTATAATTGTTCGTGTCACATACAGATGAAAAGCTTCTGTCATAGCTTAAGGAAGACATGAGTGTCGTGAGAATGTAGGTGAGTGGTTCTACTCACTAGACTTGAGGATCAGAATGCTGGTTTATATCTGTCTAAAGCCTATTCACAGTGAAGAGAGAAACTCTTTACTTGTGGTTAACAGATTTTATTTTGTTCTAATAAATTGCAAATAAACCACCGTACACATCTTGTAGTCGAGGTATTTACATTTACATTTTTATCTTATTAGTAATTAAAATAATATTTTGTAGGAAAAATTCATTTGAGAAATTTTTTTTTCAAATATCTTCATTATTTCTTAATGTTCAAAATTCCTATCCCTGTATGACTGTTGCATTTCATTTTATCTATCGAAATCAATTAGTAGCCAGTTATTAGAATATTATTATTTTTAGATATTTTATTTGTTGAAATATATCGTCTGTTAAATATTTTAGATGATATGTTGGCTCATAAATATTGTGTAATAACTTCAAGCGTATTTACTTTAAGTTAATTTATTGTATTTGAGGTATCTTGTAAAATGTGTATATTATACTTTTCAATTTTTAAAGTTCTTCGGTAAATTTTAATGTAAGGGTATTCTTACTCTATTAGAACCTTAATATAAATAAAACAGTGAATATTAGTGGGAAAGTAGTTTGATAAGATGGTTTACTACATATTTACGCGATGTGATTGATGATCAATTACTTTATGACCTTTCTCAGCCTCTCAGACATATATTACATCTCTTAGGTTATAGCTAGTGCGTCACTTATGCGCAATACATGAGTGTAGCCCGGTTCTCCAGGCGGTAACGGCAGACTTAACGGTACCCCATCATTCCAGCCCAATATTTATTCTTTTCACTAAACTTACGAGCTTGTGCGTTTTATAACTCATTATTTTATTCATTATCACTTTTCAACCGACTCTATCATTAGAATAAAAATTTTTCCATATATTTGCCGATGCATTACTCGAATTATTTTTCATTATTTCAATCAATGTTAGTGGATAATTAACATGTAAGATAAAGTAGATCATTAACAATGAAATTACTGTAGTAAACTGACTTGGTCATTTAGATGTATGTTAAAAACATTCCCCATTTTAATTTTGAAATTGTGTTCAGTTTGTCACAATTTTGCGACACTTTCACGTCTAATGCGGCAAAGCGAAAGTAGAATGACGAAACCTTGCGTGTACCGGATGTGTCTGTTATTTTTTCTTTGCATATTAGTAATCTTTAAATATTTTTTTCTTTTTTAACTTTTTTGACAGAAGAAAATCTGGTAATACTTATTCAGAACGCATTTTTGAACCCATATTCTGACAAAACGTGAGTGTACTCAACAAGAAACACTTAAAAAAAAGGTAAAATACAATAATAAAATGCAATCTTCACTGGCTAGTGTTGCTTATTTAATACCAAATAATAATAGCTCTCAAAATCTTTATAATTATTTAATATTAAATAAATAATTATAAGAGTATAATTTCTATTGTTATCATATTTAAATAAAAATAAAAAGTCTGGTTACAAGTTAATTTTTTAATTTGATAAGTTATAAAAAATCACATCACCATCATTGATGTTTTTTTTTAAAAAGAAATTTAAGTAATTTAGATCAGTTAATAGCTTAATATGTTGGCAGTAAACAAAACATTAAAACTCTTTCTCTTGACGACAAACATATTAGTTAAATCGGTGCAATCTCTATTTAATCAGCAACAAACTACGGTACTTTAACTACCGCTCTCATTGCATTACATTTTACGAGCCACCAATTTACATTTCATCGTTCTCACGATTATATTCTTAAGTATTGTACTATCTTTAACAAATCAATAGAAGCTTTTATCCGTTAATTTCTCCACTTTTTTGCTCGCTTTTCATTTTGTGCTACAAATGTGTGATAACATGTAGTCCATACATGAGTATGAGATTGCATGGTACACTTGAGTGCGGGCTCTGCATCATAATTCATCCATTAAGGAAAAGAAAACCGGATCGGACAATTCTAAATACTCATCACAAAACAAATCCACTTGTCACGCAAAATTTCTTAGCTTTCTCAATTTCTTTTTTTCTTTCTTTTTTCTTAAATCCTTTTTTTTCTAAAACTTTATAAATTTTTTTCCTTCCTACTAATAATCCTTTGTCCTTGACGATCCACAAAAAGTCAAGCTTTCACCTTCAATACCATATCAGTAACAATAAAAATGAATGATTAAAAATTCAACAAAAACTTTCCACTGACGTCAATGGGTAGTTCCAGTACTTTTCATAGAAAGTGTTTATTTTACGTCACTATTAAAACCACAAAAGCAGTCGTAAACTTCACAGTAAAGTATACTTCTTCTGAGGTAAACTGTAAGAAATGTGGGCCGAAGTAGAGAAACGGCAATTTATATATTGTGTTAGAACGTTTCAATGGAAGAAATAAATATCAATACCTTAGCGAAATGCTTAAGCAATGAGATCACTAAATAAAGTCATCAATAATAGTAGTAAACGATAACTTACCCATAATTTGGAGACCTACAAGTAAGAAAATAAATCCTATTGACACACTTTGGTTTGCCATTTTCCGGTTTGAATCTCTCGAATACGGCCACAATTGCACCATTGTTCTCCAATCACTTGAAGAATCCAAAAGATACCCTGTGTACCATCAAGAGTCCCGTTCAAAAATTTGCAAGATACACTTCAGTGATAATCTATCCAACCGCCGCCATCTTCATTCCTAGTGAGCATCAGCGTCGATCGACTTCTTCACAGTGGTCACAAACATGAAAAAATAGTCCAGACTGTTTCAGCAATCGCCACATTTTTATTTAAAATTTAATTCTACCAATTTAACGTTTCTTTTTTGCCGGTTATCACTTGGCGGAGTAATCAAAAGTCTTTTGCCACTTCTTCAGTCTCTTGGACCGAATGACCTAGTTATATTAAAACTCTTGAATCATGTGGTCTAGTTGACCTTCAATATAGCCTGATTTGAATCCGAAAAATTTCATTCAAATTCACTCCGTAATTACACTTGACACTACAAAATTCAATTTATGTTGCATTTAGAATGTTCTTCTAGAATTCCATGGATTATTCTTGTAGCATAATTAAACTTAAAAAGATAAAAAAGCTAACATTAGTTTCACTGAATAATCATTTTTAAGACTGTAAATAAAACTATTTAAGACCAAGATGATTGAAGAAAGTAGAGAATAATTTGCAAATATACTTATAGAAGTAGGAAATGATATTCTTAACACGCTTGAGTTCGCGTTAACGTCGCGGTCGTTCACTTTGTACTGGCTGATGGCCACAGGCATCCACAGAAGGACGAGGCAAACACAGCTTCTCCCACTAAGGCCCACAAAGCAATGGCTGGGTCTGTGCTATAGTGAGGAAAAGCAACACCATGGTCTACTACAAAGCAGGTAAAAAATGAAATGTATGATCAAACTTGATGCTCTTGTCTAATAGTATTCACCAGCTGCAAACTCTTTTATGACGTTTTTTAGCTGTCAGCTTGATCTGTTCTTTACAGCTTAAACATCTTATTTGAGATTTTTCATGTGGGCCGCAAATTATACCAGACAATGTAAAATTTTATTGTAATTAAATTAATTATAGTTTACCCGCAGGTGAGATCTAGATAATTAGGAGAAAAAGAAAAATACACATACCGGCATCATTTTTCTTCTGACTTCACTATTCATTTAGAGAATGAGGGTTACATTCCGAGCAAGATTAAAAGATGAGGGGTAAAATCACACATTTTGAAAAGTCACGCAATGTTTTCCTAGGCTAACTCCTCATGCTGAGAATAGCAGAAAAAAATCTTCACATCCTTTAATGTGTCATTTTTTATTTTCCATTTATCACCTCTTGACAGGATTTTTCCAAAGTTCAGGTAGAACAAACATCCCTATTCTATTTTTTTATATAACAATGGACCGTGAGAAACCGGTTCGCCACATGAAAAATCAAGATCGTAAAAACGTAATTAATCATAATTTGCAGGAACTCTATATTATCGATCAATTGTGATTTATTCACTACTAATAAAGAAGAGCTCTAGCTAAAGAATCGATACAAAAGTTTGTAAACAAAATGAATGTAAACTTATCTGAATAATGCTACTTAGTAATGTATTTTTGGTTTATTTGTATTATTTTTTATATTTATTCGATTGTAGTCGTTAAAAAGATGTTTTGCAAATAATTTTTTTTTTATCTTAGAGATTGAAATAACAATTGATAATTTTTAAGTAAACGTATAGTGAACCAATTCGTTCTCTAATTTAGTAAAATCAAATAACATTACATAAGGTAGATGTTAGATTGTTAAATATCCTGAGGTTGTTGAAATAAATCCTACTTGATATAAGTTCTTTCTGGTATATCGAAAAAAAATAATGGAGCTCCATAAATACTTTCAGCTGATCAAATGGAATCAGTAGTACAATAGTAACTTTCTTTTACATTTTCTTTCCTAGGATTTTATTACAACATATATAATATGTATATACTATTTTGATCAGCTTATAATCACCATTTTTAATGGAACACACAACCCGTATCATATGCATTGTGAGTTATCGTTATTACAGTTAGCACGTTTCAGAATAGACATTTCAGGTACTAAAATTGTCTAATCTTTTTACATGTTTTGTTCCGTGACATTTGAATATTTTGACGAATGAGTTCATTTAATAAAGTCATCGTATAATGCTAAATATAGATTTACACTATAAATAAATTCGTCAAATTTGCTAAAATCATTAACTAACTTATTGTCTATCAAAACATGAAGATAAACAATTGAATATTTTATAATCAACTGAAATCTGTCAAGTAGAAAAATAGAAATGATAACGTATAAGGTAATTTTTAAATAATTTTATATTTTTTCTATTATAGATGAAGAAACTGATATAAAAGTGTTCATCAGTGAATGTTAAAGTGTATAAAGTTGGACAACAGGCGTCGAAAGAACCATCTGTAGAGAGGGAAGTAAAAAGGAAAAGGCCCCTTTTCCCCTCCTTTGAAGTCTGGCTCAAAGAGTTTTAATAATATAAAACGAGAGAAAGAGAGAGGCAAGGGCCCCATGAGGGAATGGCACCGCTCCTGAAAAATCTCTCAGCTTGCTTCATTCCGGAGTACCGTCTCGTGTGCATCGTCGTCGTTGTGGAAGGTAGAAGCATTCCATTCATGTTTTGGAATGCGCAGTGTGAGAGCGTCGTCCGGCCGACGAGGACGTAAAGATCAAGGATTCCTAAACTGTCCTCGCACATAAGTTATCAACTTTCAACTTGTTCGCCGGTATAAACTGCGATCGACTGATTTTCGTGAAGATCTATATAATCGTTAGCATTTACGCTACATAACATATATGTTTTGTTCTATTGGAGTGCCCTCACAACAGCTGCGTGCCCGTCAACAAGAGGATTGTCCTTACACTCTTTCGTCGATCATTGGTGGTAAGTAACTATAGTAAGAAATAGTGTGTACTGTGTGAAGGAATAAAATAGACAGGATGTTGAAAATATCTCACTGACACATGCGTAAAATTGAATGAAATAAAATAGCACTAGACGGGAATAAATGCCGTTGCGATTTTACGCACCAATCGCCTGGATGAAGAATTGTGGCGTCAAGGGACGACACACCAGTCAAGACAGCCACGTGGGCCACGTAACTAACCGTGGGATAACATCACGTGTTGTGAAAGCAAAACAATTTTTTGTATTGAATTTATATTAACATTTACTCTTCTTCACTCCAACTATCAACATTATTTATAATGCGTATACGAAAAGTACATCAAATATTAATAGCTTTACAAGATTAGTTTTATCAAAATTAATAACTTCACTAGTACTTCATTATATTAACTTATTAATAAACATGGGTACTGATTATTAATGTTATCAAGTATGAAATGTGCATTAGTTAATTTTTATTAAGGGACATTGATGAAATCTTGTTCTATGAGTTTTCATACAGTTATCGTAAAAATTATTGCTAATAACTTTGGAAACTTAATAACGAGAACAATACAACCAATATTTGTCCAATAATCGTAAATTATTAGTAGTTTAAAACTTGTTTAGAAAATATTGCTCTGAAATTTGTTTGAAAAAACATTTCAATAATTACTATTAATTCAAGTTAAAGTTGTTTTATGAATATTAGGTCATGGTGACAATTAATTGTACTTTTTTTTTAATTAATTAATTTATACTGACATAAATGGACTTCCTGTAAAGATTATTTTTATTTCTATAACGATATTTATATATCTCAATTATAACAGTGAAAAAAATTTAGAAAAATATGTAAAAGATATGAATGTAGTATTTAAAAGAGGAATATTTAGATTACTTTTTCTTTTATGTTTTAAATAATTTTTTCTCATAATTATGCAATATATCACATATACCTCTATTCTTTCCAGGGAATGGATGCCGAGATAAGAGTATGGAAATGCTATTTAGCTATTTACCTTTCATCTTAAGCGCCGGCTATTTATTAGTTTTTTTATCAACCCTTCTACATTTTTTTATTCCTATTTTATAACCTTTGACATATTTTCTTTCTGCTGGATCATATATTATTACCAATAGGACAATTTTCACTTGTAATAATTTTCTAGAATTCCAAAATCAATGCAACTTTCATTGTAAAATAATTAGTTTAAGAAATCAATATTATATTCATTTTTGGAGGTCTCTTTGAATTTCGTTAGGCTTAAGAAGACTTATCGAGACGGGAAGTTGATAAAAAAAAATCTATGATGTAGAAGTTTCTTTTGCTTCAATTCTCATTTTAAAATTTCTGCGATTTTTTATTTATTATTAGATCATTCATGTTATTTATTTATTTACAATTTATTAGGGCAAAAATTTTCAATATACTATCGTAGAATATAATTTAATTTATTATTTAATAAAACTCAATTATATCATTAATGAAGTTTTTACTTAATAGTTTTATGAAAATTTAATAAGTTGATATTAATGATCAGTTTCATATCAAATTGAAGATTGACAATTATCAAAATTGATATTTTTAGATATATTCTATTGATAGTCAATAGAGTGAATTAAAAAAATTGACACTTATATAAACAAATGTCGCAAAGATTTTAGTAGATTGTGAGATATCGTGGGCCACTGTAGTTCGTTTGACTTCAGGTGCCCAAGCGTCGAAACAAAGACGACGAGTATGAGAAAGAATGTTCAGGGGCATCGATATGCGGTCAACAAGTCAGGCAGGTGCCAAAGCAGATGTTTTCCCCTCTCACTTCTATCTTTATCGTCTGCAAAGTCTGTTTTCAAAGTAATTTTTTAAGTTAAATCCTCATTACAAAATTTATTATCAATCTAAAAATAAATTTCATTTTTTTAATTAGAGAATTTTGGATAATACTTTTTCATTGGTTTCAGAATAAAACTTGAAAGATGTGGTGATGGCCGAAAAACGACGGCCCCCAAGTTTGGAGCCACCGACAGACTCGCCATCTTCATCTTCTCCATCACCAAAGAAATCCAAATTAACTGAATCAAGTATAGATACATCAGCTGAAGATATCAAAGATCTTGAAGCCGATGAAAGCCTTGAAACTAGCGAACAGTTGTCACGTAGCAGTGAATCTCTTGAAATTGAAGCCCCTAAAGATATTTTGGAAGTCATCGAACCTGTTGCCGGATCATCTCAAGTTAATCCCGAAAAATTAGACCAATCAGAAAAAAGTGCGAAAGCAATGGGAAAAAAAGTTGACAGTTCATTAGTTGGTGAACACGCTCATTATCAGGAGTTAACTTTGATCGGCGATGGAGCTTATGGTACAGTTTATAAAGCGAAAGATTCATCAAGTGGTCAGGTAGTTGCGTTAAAAAAAGTGCGAGTTCCCTTAACAGAAGATGGACTTCCGACGTCAACGCTTCGAGAAATTGCTGGACTCAAACAATTGGAAAGGTTTGAACACCCAAACATTGTCAGATTGCTTGATGTTTGTCAAGGAAATTACCTTCAGGTTCCCAGTGATGAACAAAATGATAGGATTAGTCGTGGATTAACTTTGTGGTTAGTTTTTGAGCATGTAGATCAAGATCTTGCATCGTTTATCTCTGCTTGTCCACCAGGAGCATTATCCTCTCAGTCAGTTAGACAAATGTCCAAAGAAATTCTTCAAGGAGTCGATTTCCTACACAGTCATCGAATTATTCATCGAGATTTAAAACCACAGAATCTTTTGGTTACTAAAGATGGCAATATTAAAATAGCTGATTTTGGATTAGCTAAGACGTATGATTTTGAAATGAGACTGACATCTGTGGTAAGTTGATGTAATAATTAAGCTTTTATTAATTTATAAATAACTGAAAAATTTATTGTCTGTTTATAATTCAGGTAGTAACATTGTGGTATAGAGCACCTGAAGTACTTCTGGGATGTTCTTATGCAACACCAGTTGACATTTGGTCTGTTGGTTGCATTATTGCTGAATTAAATAGACTCAGGCCTTTATTTCCCGGTACTAGTGAAGGTGATGAGTTGGATAGGATTTTCCAGTGAGTTTAATTTGACATATAATGAATTAATATATCTGTTGAACTATTTTTTTTTTGTATACCAGTAAATTATAAATAATGTTAATTTTTAGAATTATTGGAACACCAAATCAGGATGAATGGCCTAAAGATGTGTCTCTAAGCTGGACTGCATTTCCATATCGTCGTCCAACGCCATTGAAGAATGTAATACCTGACATAAATGATGACGGTTTGGATTTAATAGGAAAAATGTTAACATTTAATCCACATATTAGATTAACAGCAGCTCAAGCTCTTCAACATAGGTATTTTATTAATTCAGGTTCTCCATCCTGATAAGAATCTTAATTGTACGAATATTTCTAAAGAATTGCATTTTGTTAACTATTCAAAGTGTGTATGAATATTTAGTAGTAAATTTTTTAACATATCTAATGTATTCGATAATTATTTTAGATAGAATGTTATTTAAATAGTTCGTGTGTATTTTAATTTAATTAATTAGGCATTTCCGGTGATGCCTGTGAGTGCCTTAAAATATGAATCGATGTATTATTATATAGATAAAGCCGTTAGTTTATTTTTATAATAGTTATTATTAATTATTCAACAAGTCTTAAATATTAGTTGAAAAATTAATATGTAAAATTCTTAAGACTGGGATCGTTAAGATCCATTATAAGTGCTGGAAGTTTGAAAAATTTCCTAGCTTAAACCAGAAACAATACTGCCATTTTTTCATTAATTCATGCTTATGCATTTATTAATTAATTATTTTTTTGTAGTTTTATTTACTTATACTTTTGTATTATATATTGTATGCATTTTTGTTGTCTATATTGTCTCATTTATTTATAAAGAAAAATAATCTGTATTAAAATTTTGTAAACGTGATGAAAGAACGTAATAATTAAAATAATTAGAGACTGCATACATGTTTAGTGGTAAATGTAGAAAATGCAAATAGAACACATTTTATGTGTTATTTTATATCCACATTTATTTTAAATACAATGTTCTTGATATAATCAAGAAATTTCAATAAAATTGATATCAATAAAAATCTTTTCATAAATAAAAAAAATTATTTTGTGTATTAGCTTTTTTTGTACTGGCTCGGAAAATTTATATACATCACGTATATATCACGTGACTTTGAAATCAGTGTCATTTTTTTGCTTATATGTATATTTATAGTTACAATAACAAAATTGATTACTACTAGTGATTATTATTAATGTATTGATAATGATATTATTAAAGTCAATCTTGAAATTTTCTAAATATATAATAAATAAAAATTTATATCAACCGGCAAGTTTTTTGCCTATACGAAAAATGGCGTCTGAAGTAGAAAAAGCTCAATCCGCAGCTCCTGCTGATGATACGATTTTTGGAAAAATACTTCGCAAGGAAATTCCTTGCACATTTATTTATGAAGATGATCAGGTATTTCTTCACTTTTATTATGAAAACATGTAATTATTTCTACCAAATTCGTAATAATTTAATGAAATATTTCTAACCTATATAACGTTATTTTATAACTAAGCTAGTGCATTTTAATTTGACTTATTCTCAAATTAATTTTTTAATTTTTTTTAGTGTGTTGCATTTAATGATGTGAATCCTCAAGCCCCAAAACATTTTCTTGTCATACCTCGTAAACCAATTGCTCAGCTATTTACAGCAGAAGATGGAGATGAGGCTTTATTAGGACATCTAATGAATGTAGCACGAAAAGTCGCAAAACAGGAAGGCCTTGACAATGGTTTTCGTCTTGTAATAAATAATGGTAGAGATGGAGCTCAATCAGTATATCATTTACATTTGCATGTTCTTGGAGGAAGACAGATGCAGTGGCCACCTGGTTAAAGTATTAATATCTATCTATTATATATCATTCTTATTAAAAAAGTAAAATATTACCAATTATACAATATAATAATGCATCAAATAAAAATAAATCTTTTTATTAGTTATTATCATTAAAAGTTTAAATTTCAAAATCTTATAAAAAATATTTAAACTTTTTTATACACTTTAAATTCATATTCAATCCCATCTTCTTCTTGTATACCTTTAGGAATGTTAGGATCACTGGTAAAAAATACAACTTTATATGAGAAATAATTATTAACTAAAATTTGATAAATATGTTATTCAGTGTGACTTACTCGACAACTTCAAAATTATGTGGAATAGATGGAAAAAACGTATCACATTCAAATATTCCTTTCACTTTAGTTAAATATAATCGATAAAAATAAGGTGACTCCATGGCTTCCTAAAAAAATATATCTTTTAAATGCCGTTAATAGAAATTACGATTATTTTACTATATTAATATTGAAATAATATTTCAATTACTTTGTAGACACTATGTCCACCGATTATCCAAATATTTTCTACTTTTTCTTGTAATTTAGGCTGACAAATAATATCTAAAGCTGCCGAAAGACTTTTGCAAACAATAGCCTCATCTCCTAGATCTCTATATTTTCATATACAATGAAAAACAAAACAAAGTTAAAGAATAAAGTTTTTAGAAAAAATAAATGTTAATAATATAATAATTATTTACAGATTTTGACTAGTTAAAACAATATTAATTCTGTCTTTGAGTGGTTTGTATTTGTTTGGAATGCACTCCCAAGTCTTTCGACCCATAATAACAGCATTTTGTTTATACATATCTTTAGTTTTAGTTGTGTTTTCTGTAAAAAATGCCATTTCACTCCTAAAACAGAAAATTTAAAATAAATAAAAGAATGTTTCATGAGCAGTAACTATGATTGCACAGTCAAGTAATACTTTATTAATAAACATTAGTGGATTATTGTAAGAAAGTTAATTTGTTTAGAGCTAATATCGATGGATTCTTTTACTTTAGTTTCCACGGTAATCGTCCATTTATTCCAATTCCCATGTTGTCACAAGCTGCAGCGATTAAATTTAATTTTAATTGCATCTTTTTAATAATTCTTTACAGACAAAATTGAAAACTCTAAATGTACAAACTAGTATGAATAAGTTTCAAATTAATCTAACAAAATGATAGAAAGTTGATGGCCTTATTTATACAAGAATCTAAAACATTCGTATTCGACCTCGTGATGAAACGGTTTATTATTATTATATTCTAAGGCATCGGAGCAGTGGCTCCATACAGCCGTTCGCTTTCGGTAGTTTGAGTAACACTGATGTGAATGGAGTAAACTGTAGATGGTGAGACGATAAGGTAGGATCTTCTAGATGGTAAGTTTCACTTTCTTGAGGAAGTTACAAACGATGTGGACGAGGCGAGTAGAAGGCTGGCTGAGAATGACAGTGATATCCTTGACGAATGGGATAATCAGCTTCTTTAAAGCTGTAACGAAGGCGATGCGTTCTGAGTTGAAGAGAGGGCAATCCCAGAGGAGATGATTGATATCTTGAGCTAGGGATCCACAGTTACAGCGCGGCGATTGAACCAGGTTGAAGCGATGAAGGCTGTGATTCGAGGTGTAATGGTTGCTTCTAAGTCTATTAATAGTAACGATTTCTCTTCTTTCAAGACGTAGCTTATCAAACCAGGGTTTGGTAGTATCTCGGTAGTAATGGGTGAAGTAGGCTGTGCCTTTCCAATTAGCTTGTTGAAGAAGCAGGTTCCTGGTTTTACAGACAGTGTTGGATCTGAGAAGAGGATAAAAATCAGTGTATGGAAGCTTGGTCGACAGATGATGACCATCTCGAATGGCTGCTTTTGCTAGTGAGTCAACATGCTCATTCCCAGGGATGAGAGAATGTCCAGGGATCCATGTAAGGCTTATTTCGAGGCCTAGAGAGTAAGCATCTTTGAGGGTTTTGAGGATGAGGAATATGAAAGGAGCATTTTGATCGTAGCTAGGGTTCTTAAGGGTTTGAAGTACGCTGAGTGAGTCAGATAGGATAATCGAATTGGGAATGCGTAAGTGTATGATAGTTAGAATAGCTTGATGAATGGCAGCTGCCTCTGCAGAAAAGATAGAAGCGTACGAGGATAGCTTAAATTTAAGCTCGAGAGGAGGGTCGGCACAATAGAGAGCAGCTCCAACTGTGGAGAAAGTGTCAGCTTTAGAACCGTCGGTATAAAAGAAGGTAAATTCAGAGTGTGTGTTGATCAGCAGTCGTTCAAACTCAGAGTTAATCGTTTCCTTAGTGGCTGATTGAAGTCTTCTTCCATTGGATAGGTCAATGTTGATTTCTTGAAAAGGTAGGTCATATGGGAATTGATATACAATGGGGCCGAACCCCTCAAATACTTTTTCCATGAGGAAGCGAGTTTTGCGGAAGGCATGTGGTAAGACGTTATCACGAAGAGCTATGGAATCTCGAGTAGGGTTAGCTAGAATAGAGATGTGTAGGTCGCGACAAGAGTCGATTGCCATGTGGTTCTGGAAGGACGAGGATCGCAGGAGGAAGCGACAGCATAGTTCATAAATCCGATATTTTATTGGGTGTTCTTTGGCCTCAGCCAAGAGGATGTTCGTGGGGGTGGTGATCCTTAGGCCAAGAGCTAGCCGGATCGCAGCGTTTTGAATCTTGGAGAATTTATCGAAGTGAGTATGATTTCTGAAGGAGAAGATGTGTGAACCATATTCCCACTGACTTCTAACAAGCGAGCGGTAAATGTTTAGAAGAATGGAGGGATCAGCACCCCAATAAGTTGACCGAAGAACTTTAATAATTGAAAGGAAGTTTTTCGCTTTGGAATGAATGTATTTATAATGAGGAACAAAAGTTAATCTGGAGTCGAAAATAACTCCTAAAAACTTAGCTTCGGGGATCGGACAGATAGGAGAGTTGTTGATAGTGAGCGAGATGTTGGGAGGGATTTTCCTATTAGAAAAAATAATAAATTGAGTTTTTGGTGCAGAGATATTAAGGTTACGTTGCAGAAGGAAAGGAGTCAGTTTATTTAGTGAGGTTTGCACCCGATTTAAAGCTACTTGCAGATTACGATCAGATGCAATGATATAGAAGTCATCAGCGAATTTGAGGAACTTACACTTGGAGTGAATAAAGTTAGGGGCTTTGGAAACATAGAGATCGAATAGGATAGGGGCAGAAATAAGACCCTGTCCGACGCCTCTGTTGACGAATTGGGGAGAGGAAAGAGAGTTGCCTAAAACAAATTGTAGGCTTCTAAGGTTGAGAAGGTTAAAAAGGAATTGACAGTAATTGAGGGGAAGGCCGCAGTCCAGAAGATCTTTTATGAGTATACTAGGTACCACGTGGTCGAAAGCCCCGACAAGGTCTAAACTAACCACTACTGAATATTGGCTGTTAAGTGACGCCTCGAGGATTTCCGCGTTGAGGGTCGCCAGAACATCCGCAGTGCTTCTGCCCCGACGAAAGCCGAATTGGCAGTCCGGAAGCAGGAGCCTGTTTTCTGCCCACCAGGTGACTCTCCTCATAATGATTTTTTCCAGCAATTTTAGAAAACAGGATGCCAGGGTGATCGGTCTAAACTTTCCAGAAGTAGGTTTAGGAATAAGATAAACTATAAATTCCTGCCAGGATGTAGGGAAAGAACCTGAGGAAAAGATATCATTAAATGAAGATAACAGGGAGTTAAGAAAGGAAGGAGGGAGACGTTTAATGACGCTGTAAGGTATCTGGTCTAGACCAGGAGAAGAGTTCAATTTGGTTTTAGAGAGAGCTGAGGTAAGTTCCGTTAACGTGAACGGAGTGAGTAGGAAATTGTATTTTGGAGCTGCAGGCCGTGGAGTATAAGAGGAGGTAAGTTGATGAAAGGTGACATTGTTACAAGGAGAGTGCGAAGATGCAACAAATTCATGCATGAACGTCTTCATAGATTGAAGAGTAGTATCATTCTGAGGAACTAAAGGAGTAGACTGATGACGATTCTTGAAAGATTTAATCCTGTTCCAAATGACCTTGATTGAGGTACGTTGATTGAAAGTGGAGCAAAAGTGGACCCAGCTCTCTCTTTTGGCTTTCCGGGAGACACGTTTCCAGCAGGCTTCGAGACGGTTGCACTCAATGAGATTAGGGACAGTAGGGTATGATCTCAGGACACGATATGCTGCTCGTTTATCTTCAAGCGCTTCTTGGCATTCCTTGTTCCACCAAGGAGCAGGAGGAGGTTTGGGATTGGGCCGAGGTGAAGAAACATGTGACGAGGGGATGGCGATCGATAAACAATTTTTAATTATGTCAATGATTTTCTGATATAGGGCTGTTCCAGAGAGGGTTTCAGGGGAGTTTAGTAGCTCCGTTTCACGAGCGTGAAGATTAGACTCAAAGAGATCCCAGTCAGCGCGGGAAAGATTAAGCTTATGAGAATATATGTGATAGAGTTCAGAAGTTAGGCCGAGCCTAATTTGGATAGGGTAGTGATCGCTCCCCATTGAGTCAGATAATGTCTCCCACGTGGAAACAGAAACTAGATCTATAGAGACGAATGTGAGATCAACAGCCGATGAGCATTGGTTAGGTCGGAAGACCCGAGTGGGCCTGCCGTCATTAATTACAACAAAATCATTGTTGATAGAAGCGTTAAAGAGGGAAGAACCCACGCAGCAAGTCGAGGCGGAGCCCCAAGAGGTATGATGGGCATTAAAATCTCCACCCACTAAGACTAGAGGAAAAGAGTTGAGAGTTTCAAAGAAGCTGGGCCAAAAAGATGATGAGAATGCTGACTGAGAGGGAGGACGGTATAGGGAAACTATTAATAGGTCGCCCAGATGAGTAGGAGTAGTAATAGCCACGATCTCAAGATGACTGGAGAAGGCGTCAAAGTCATTGACTATAGAGAAGGTACGGTTTTTCCTAAGAGCGATGAGAACACCACCTCCGGGATGAGCTTCACTCCTATCCTTCCTGATAACGTTGAAGCCCCGGGCGCTAAAGACATCCCTGGAAGAGAGCCAGGTTTCGGAGAGTAAAATTACGTCGGTATCAGTTGGAAGTAGACGGAGATCATCTTTCTTTCTTTTAATGCTTCTCGAGTTCCACTGAATGATGTTGATACGAGGCATTTTACGTGGGGCTGTGAATTTTAAGCTATTTCAGGGAGAGGGTAGCAGCGGGTAATGTTTGAGATGAGGAAAGCGCAGTCGTTAATCAGATTCGAAACGTCAGGAGGTGAGGAATCAGGTTTAAGAGAGAACAGCTGGATGTTCTGCAGTAAAGAAGAGATATTTTGCAGGAAATTAGAGAGAGCTGGAAGGTTGACTTGATGCAAGATGAGCTGAGGGTCCTGCGGGTTTATGGGATGGGAAGAAGGATGGGGAGGTGAGGGAAGGGGGCCTGGGGAAGAGGGATAGCGCCCGTTAGGTGCTATAAGGAGACTGCGATGCTCATCAGACATACCTGTGCGAGAAATTCTCGGGGGTTGTGGCGTTCTAGAAGAAGGTGGAACATGATTAGGTCGGCTGACGCGATAAGAGGTAGAGCTAGCGAAAGGTGTTGGGGGGGTGGCTGCTACATGCGAGTAGCTAGGCGGAGGGGGAGGGGGCGCGTGATAAGGGGGGGAGGAGGGATATGAGGGTAAAGGGTTAGTAACTGGGGAAGGTGGAAGAGAGGGAAAGGCTTGGTGGTTGAACGGGGAAACGTCAACCGGGAGGGATGAGGGGCAATTGGGGTAAGAGGATCTATCATTCTGAAGAAGACGATTAGCTTCAGCGTATGAACAGTTGTTGTGGGCCGCAAAGGAGCGAACAGCTTTAAGGAGGAGAAATTTAGGGCAAGAAGGGTCTGTACTCAAGTGAGTACCCTTACAGTTGATGCATTTAGGAGTTTGAGGGCATATGGTACCTTCAAGATGCGAAAGAGAGTTGCAGCAAGGACAAAGAGGTTGGGATCTACAGACTTTACTTAGATGTCCAAGAATATGGCATTTTGTGCAGCGTGAGACTTTAGGGGTGTAAACTCTAACTTGGAAAGAAGATCCCCAGATTCTGACTGAAGAGGGAAAATTCTGGCCCATAAAGGAAATGCGGATAGAGCGAGAGGGAACCAACTCATGAAGACGTTTGTCATATC